TTATTATGCTAGTATGAATCTAATTCAAGTGGATGGAAATTTCCATCTTCACTAACAATTTGAGACTATTTTGTCTTCGGATAGTTAGGTCGATGGGCAACCATCGAATTTGAACACTAGTAAGCTGGTGAATGCTAGTATCTGTTCGACTTAATAAAAATACTATAATCGTAGTATAGAGTTTCAAGTAAGGGGATTGGGTTAGTATTAATAACTACTGAGAGTTAAGTGTATACTGAAAGAAAGTAAGTGAAGAATGACCCGGTAGCTTAACTGGTAAAGCAACCTGACATGATATCGGGGAGATCCAGGTTCGATTCCTGGCTTGGTTAATTTTTCATGGATTTTTTCAAAGTTGCTCTTCATTCTCAGTAGCTTTCCATCGTTAATACTTGAAAATTAAGTCGAACAGATACTAGCATTCACCAGCTTACTAGTGTTCAATTTCGATGGTTGCCCATCGACCTAACTATCCGAAGACAAAATAGTCTCAAATTGTTAGTGAAGATGGAAATTTCCATCCACTTGAATTAGATTTATACTAGCATAATAAAAAGACCGAAAAGGTGATAAAAGAGTTAAAATAATTATAAAATCACGGTTGAGAATAATAATAAGTTTATTTTATTATATTTACTCTCAAATATAAACAGTAATAATTCCTAGAATTTAACTAATATTTCCACAAAAAAAAATTAATTACATTTTAATTCTTACTCACCCATGATTAATTATTCAGTCAATGAACCCCAGAGTATTTCTCTTAAACTCTCATATTTTATATTTTAAAATTGAAAAATCCAAAAATCTGCCACCCCCACTCCGATAATATCTCCCAAAATTTATAAAATATTTAAAGAATGTAAACAGTAGTTAATCTCTCACAATGATTCTCTTAACCGGGATTCGGCTTCGGGACTGGGCATATCAACTGGCAGCGATTCGAACAAATGCCTCGAAGCGATAATGTACGTCAGTGTGTACATATATGTACATATATGTGTATATAGCCACAAACTAAACACTCACAAGAACTGTGCGCAACTTTTGAGCCAGCATAGTGTCATAAAAGCGCCCAAATAAAATTAAAAACCGGTTTTTCAGGTCTTCTATGCACCGGGTGATTAGAGAGACTGAGCCCTGAGCTTGAATTTAGTTTCTTATCACTAAAAATTCATTACTCAAGATAATATTAATCAAATATTTGTTATTTAGACAATGACGTAGATAATTATCGGGCTACTCTATATTTACTTAGTTAATTAAATTTTAATTTAAAGTTCAAGTTAATTAACTCTTTTTAATATTTAATGAAAATAATTTTAAAGAAAATCAACAAGCTGTCAGAAGTTAACCACAAACTTGAGTAAATATAAATCTATTTGAATATCCAGAGCAAACAAATCAATTGAGATTGATAAACCGGATCAATGACCCAAACAGAGGTTTACATTTAATTATTCATTTAAATTAATTTCATTAACAAAGCTTTAACTACAAGCTTATATAATTAAACACATTAATATTTATTTTGTTTTTTTTTTTTTTTACGGACGGAATAAAAAAAAAAAATTCGCGATATGTAAAACAACTACTAACAAACAGATGACGTCTTTTAATGTACAAACGATTCATGCGCATAAATTATATAAGCTTAAAAGCTTGAGCGTCATGATCTTTTTTATAATTCATCATGACCTTCGGGACAATACAATAAAAATAATAATATATTTATTTTGTAAACAATTTTAAAATGGATTTAAATAGTTTGAAAAAAAAAATTTATTGCCTAAAAAATATTTATTTGAGGCTTTTAAATAAATACTAACGATGATAAATGGTGTCTCTTTTACTTCTAATTTATTTGCGGGTTTGAAATAAGACGAGATATTTTTATTTATAGAAAATTAATAAAATTAATAACTAAAAAGGATTGTTGTTATTTATTGAGAGTGGTCCGTGGACAGTAAACGGTATTAAGCCGACTTGGTAGAGTATTTAGGGATAGAAATTCTTTATATCAATGAGGGAAATTATATAGTAAGTTCCCCAGACTAAGAAGCCACATTTTTTTAAGAATACATATTGATAACCTTCGAGGAATATCACTTTAAATTATAATAATTATAAAAATAACAAGTTTGTTATTTTAAGCT